TGCCCTGCTTCTCAGTTTCGGTGGGCATGTTGGTAAAATCACCAGTGATGGCGGCTAGTTTGGATACAATAACTCAGTCACACATCGGAGGAGAGTCTCTTACCTTAGGTAATCGAGCAGTGACAGTCGACTTTCACAGAGTATTGAAGAAGAAAGAGCCTGCGTGTTTAATCTGCGGGCGTGTTTGGGGTCATCATACAGCACTCCCTCTCCAGAAACCTACACCGCATTCTAGTTGCGGAAAAAACCGCTGACTGGCTAAAAAATCAGCTCCTGACTCCTGACTGAATCCAGGAGGGAACTATGGGGCGCCGAACTAGTCAATATTCCCTACATCTACCTATGGTCTGTTTGACTTTCTATATGCTCTGCCTCAATTCGACTTTTTACATGCTCAACTCGACTATTTACATGGTCAATTAATCACTTTTTATATGGTCACCACGACTTTTTTTTATGGTCATGTATTTATTTTGTTCATGGCATAGGGAGCATACAATCTTGTTGAATAGGAAGAGAATAAATAACGGAATGAAAAGAACGAAGTTTACCTTTGTCTCCTGCTGTTATTTCTAACGCGACCTTACAAAGAAAACCGCTACCTCAGCTACCTGCAAGTCCTGCTTGACACTGTAGTGCTAAACTCGTACTTAGGCCTTTTTGCGTTTTTTTCTTCTTACATTTAACAAATTGACGTCAGTTTTTCATGCGTCTGTCCTGTTATTGATCATGAATTTCGTCATAACATTATTGAGTAGCTGTGGATTCACGAGGCGCCAGAATGTGTCGAAGACGCGTTCATCGCGATGTGTGAAAATACTCAAGCTATAGCTTAAATTCATGTTTGGATGAAAAGGAATAGATCGCAGTATACATGAAATTAGCGTGTTCTACGATTTTCGTTTGTTTTAATTATTCTTCGAGCTTTAGTAGCGACGATTTCTCTTCATTTAAGAATTCGGCCAAGGAGGCGAGACTGCTAAGAAATGACATACTAAGTTTAAAAATTAATCGTCCAGATTCACGAATTTTCACATGCTGCATTAAGACAAAAGTAAGAGTTGTAAAAGTCAGGCACAATCTCCTTCACATCGTTTTACAGGGAATCAGTGTAAAACATAACCACTAATCTTTCTCACTAGAATCCATGCGAAAATGACGACGGTTCGAAGTCCTCGTGTTCTTCGTGGCGAAACGCACTCTGGTAAAAGTGGCGCAGTGCACTCTGGTTAAATGCAATGCATTCTGTTAAAAAGTGATGAAATCGAGAATTTGTACCCCCTTCTATATATTCTTCTTGAATCCTGACTAGGGTATCGAAAAGATAGTACATGTAATACTGCGGGACATTCTGTTGATAGTGACACATTTAACGCAGTGATTCATCTATCTACGCGTTCCAAGACTTACGTTAATCTTTATTTCTTTAAGTAGTGTCAAATCGTGGTGTGTAACTTAAAATTTGTCCTTGTATGGATCAACTTCATGCATGATGACGCTTCGATGCATGATATGGCGAGGTGTGACAAGGGATCGAGACGAAAAAGCACATAGTGATCTGAACTATATTTGGACATAAGACGATAAAAATGAAGACATATTGTACTACAATCGCAGTTTATTTTCAGTTTCAATTAAAGTAATCGGAATTCGAATCTACTTACAGTAAAACTAGATATATCGTAAAAGATAAGCTTACGGAATTTGAGTATCACCTGATGTAAAGTATAGCTGCATGTCCTAATATGAGTACATTTCAATGTGCCATGAGGCGACAGCGAATACTCGTGGCCATTTCCAGAAAGTTACGTGCTGTTACGTGATCAAATTCTCGTCACGAAAGATCGTGAAGCAAAAAAAATTCAGCAGAAAGACTGACCACGCACGAACGCGAACTTGATCTGTCTACTTTTATCGGAAAACAATAGAACTGTCACTTTGTCGCGTCATGCCGACAAGTTTTCCGTGCGAAAAGCGCTCTTTATATCCGATTTGCCGCTCACGCTCACTCAAGAAAGTAGTTTTAAAAAATGTAATCTCAACAAGACGAGCGCATCGAAGAGGTTAGCGAAACATATTTCAATGTCATTGTCCGCTATTAGCGGATACCTTTCGATCAATTTGTCTATGGCTGTATAATTTTGCCGGTCGCACTTTTACAGGAAGAAAAGTCATGTCGCTGCAAGTCATCGCGCTCAACTAGTCAGGGAAAGCGACTCGTTTTTTCGTAAACGGCAAATTAAAACTGTATTGACCAATATTGTGGGGGAACACGCCAACAGCCGCGAGAGTAATGCAAGAACAAGGCCACGGTAACTCCGTGCCTGAATATGCTCTTCAGTAAAATACTCTGATTTGCAATATTATGAGGGAAATTTTACTGATGTTCTACACGAGTCGTTATCATATTTACAAAACTATCCTGATAGCTAAATAACAAATATATCGGAGTAATTCTCACAGAGTATACCTGAGCGAAGAGAACCTGATAGAGTGTCTGAAGATCGAGAAAGAAAACCAACGAGTAAAGCTCCGCACACGGGTGTAAAATGTAAACAAAGAAACGCTCAAACAAACGCCGTGATCCTTCAAGTCTTTTCCAAGTCTCGTGAATCGATTTCTTTATAAAAATCCTGCTATGTTGCTGGTTCCATTACTTTTCAGTCCTTTCCCGATTTTCTGAACCTTTCTGAAAGCTGCTGGGAGAAAGGGGTCTTTGTTCAGCGCCATAACGCTTCCCTCCACTCGAAGCTCCGTCAAACGGCATTGAAATTAATACCGAAAGGTCTCGATTACACACAAATTGGCACTTTACCAGAACCGTGTATCACTATTCTTTGATTCTGAGATGTTTTAGGGCAAAGCCAAAGTTGACTGAGGACGAAGCAAACGGATTTAAGAAAGCTCTATACAGTTCTCGCATCTATGAATTTGCGACAGCCTGTGCCAAAATCAAAATCTTGCGCATGCGCAAAAACATGATTGTGTTGCTTTAACAAAATTTGTTCTGCTCTACCTCGCCGAATTTTGTCTCCACACAAACTTTGAATCGCTTACACACCTAAAAACAACAAAATACTGTATAATGAACGTAAGGGTCAAATATTTTGGCGGGCTTCTGCCTGAATAGACTCTTAAAAAGCAAGATCAAACTTACTTGACAGACATCTTCAGCCAGATTAACGCCTGCAAATTGAAAAATTTCACAGTTTTGACGCTTGACGAAAATTTGTCCTGCTCCAAGGTAGGACGACGGCGCTTTTGAAGCTTTGTAGGGCTTGACTAATTTTGATAGGAAAAAAGAAAAACACTGTGCGCACTTGTAAAACGAAAGTGATAACAAATATTTTTGCAAAATCAAAAAAAATTCGCCTAGTGCGTGGGCCCATAGAGTGTTTGCTAGAGGTGCATTGTTTAGTCAGCATGGCGATTATAAAACGAGCAACTAAGGGCGAGTACGGGGTATTGTGTATGCTAGGTAAGTAAACCTCTAAGTTTTCGATTATACAGACGTAAATTAGTAGTGATTAGTGGTTTGCCCTCTTCATACAATATCAACCGTACAAACATAAGCTATTAGCTGTTTAACTTAAAAATATCAGTCAAAATTATTTCCTCGACAGGTGTTCATTCTCAAACTCGTACGATCGTGTGACTGTTTAATTAACTGGCCTAGCTAATGGACAAACCTCGGTGCCTAACGCGCAATATCTGAATCGAATCAAATGTCGTAAGTAACCGTCAGTGGTAATATAAATATCCAGAAGGCCGTAACAATTCCGTGAAGCTGTTCTTTGGGCTTTTACTTCCAAAGCAAGCAAAAACATGTTCAACACAGAAACAATGACAGTAACAAAACACGATCGAGCACATTTAGAGGTGAAAGGGTAGATTTAAACTCTGTAATCCGTTCATAAATTTATTTATCTCCCTAGGGGTTCTTTGGAAAGACTGTTCCACACAACTATTCATAAACATGTGAATGATGTAAACATCCAGTTTTAAAGATAAGATTCTCGAGAAATAAACATACATGAGCAGTTCAAAAGTTACTTCCTGTTCGCCCCGGTGAACATAACCGAACTGCAATTATTCAATCTGGCTGTCATCGATCACCGAGCCCGTTTCTCGTTGGGACCAGGACAAACTTGTTCAAGCAAAGACCATTTTTCTCGTAACGCAGATCACAAGACGATAACCTGTCAAAATTTTGCTGTGTTGAGCAAACTGTGTTCGGGCCTTTCAAGTGCACGTTTCCGGGAACATACTAAACAGGAAGTTGATAAGAGACAGTGGGGAGGGGGTAAAGGAATCTCAGTAGATTCCACAACATTAAGTTGTATTTTTATATTCCGCCCGAGCGTTATGGATTTTCTTGATTTGAAACGGATGATTTTACTGTTTCTGTGTTTTTTGTGGAGTAGCCATATGCTACAGTCTCATTTAAAGACTTGGAAATGTTTTTTTTGGCGAAACTACAAGGAGAACTGAAAACGATGGTCTGGAACAAACGTCATTGTCATAAACTTAAATGGATAGTGAGGTCGAAGCGAGGACAGCTTTTAGAAGCTAAGGCCCGTTCCAAACGCCGCTCCATTCATGCGCCGAACCCAACCGATGAGTTAAGTACGGCAGAAGAGCGGCGTTTGAATCAGTTTGGTTCGGCACATGAGTGGAGCGGCGTTTGGACCGGGCCTAAGTGTACGGAGGAAAACACATTCTAGAGATCTGGATATGGTTTTGTAAAAGTTAACGCCGGTTTGTACTCTGAAATAAGTGCAGGACTGGAAAATCAGGGAGAAATGCCACATCGACATATTCTGTGCAATGAAATGACAGTTAATGAAATATAAAATGCTGACTTAGTTCATCACGTGAACTGTACATGTGCTCAGACAGACATCAGACCACCTTTCTGAGAAACTCACGTCATGCATAAGTGGCAAGCGTCCAAATAAAGAATGTGATGACCTAGCGAAAGATATATAAAGACACTTCGTTAACCAGTTTTAGTTCATCTGGTGAGCTTCGTGGAAGAAACTGCGGTCAGTCAAAGAAAGGTCTTGTTTTTGCTGTCGACTGCCTCTCCCAGCGATACTAAACGAAACATGGACGGTGAGCTTTGTTATAATTTTCTCTATTGCAACTTCTTGTTTGTTTACTGTACTTCTTTATTTTGCTCGGAATTTAGCAATGCATGAAATTTCTCAACACAGGTCATCGTACATTCTCTTCTAAATAGAACTTATTTCATAACTAAATCCTGTTTTACCGGCTTGCTTTGAGAATTTGACTTAGCCGTGCTTGTATTTGTCGCATTTGAAACAAGTTAAGTAACCAAGGGATGACAAACTGCTTAAATCAATTTCTTGAACAGTGCTTTTTCTCAGAAATTGAAAAGTTCTTGGCAGGCCCACACAGACTCCCCATGCCTGATTTTGCGGTTGCGATGCGTGTTATATTAGCCTTTTTCACTCCATGGTGAAATGTTGTGACGAAAGACATAATTTTCTCGTCAGTTTTTCTAGTTTTGTTCTTGCAATGTGTTTTCTAGGCTGTTTATATTCCAGTCTATCATTACAAATTGAAGTATTTGACATCATTTGCGATCACCGATCCGTTAAGGTCCAGCCAGACTAACGCAAACGTAATTCTATTTTTCTAAAAATACAGAATTCAAGGTGACTCTAGTGGTATACAGTGGCCTTCCTGATCCTGTTTGGATGGTTCACTCTCGCAATGAGAAGTGTAAGGAAATAATGGAGCTTCTCTACAACGCAAGAGCCCAAGGTAACACCTACCGACACAAGAATATCCCTGCCATTCTCGGGTTCAAAGGTTTCCTGGTGCATCAGCCAGGAGCCGAGCGTGCAGAATTGATTCTTGGCAAGGAGACGGCAAAACTTCAAAAGCTGTTGCTTGACACTATGCCAAAAAAGCTGATAAATGATGACTTACGCAAGAAGATTATGCAGGCCATCGATTCAGGAGCTGTCTCGCCCAACGTGCCTGATGCGACCCAACATGCCTCAGATCAAGATACTCCGCAAGTTCCCAGCAAAGGAGACAAAGTCGGTGTCGGCTCAAAAGAACACTACGCACCTAAATACAACCCGGGCAGGTGGAACGACATCGATGTAATCCGTACCCATAACAACTGCTACAACTACGCGAACCAAAAGATCACCAACAGTTTTGCACAGCCTGGTTTTGTCGAAGGATATGAACCCAAGATGACTCCAGAAGATTTGATTAAGGCCGCAGAGTTAGATGGCTTGGTAAACATGGAAGTGGACCCAAGTGAACCTTGCCCTGAAGCACCACCACAACCAAACTGCTTAATTGCATTGATGTGTGCTGAAGGTAAGAATTACTAAAACGCTGCTGCTTCTTGATAACTTATTCCTGGCAAATCAGTCAGTTAATTAATCAGTACAACATACTTGATTCCCCTTAAACTGTCAGGGGCGGAACATTTACCTTTTGAGGACGAGGGGGGATGGGGGGTGGGGGGAAGGGGGGCTGGGTGATTTGATATGCGTGAGTGGAGCGGCGTTTGGACCGGGCCTACGAAATTTTTGCCAATTTTCTCCTCGCCAAAAATTGAAAATATTTTAAACAAACAAAATTGGCTCTAGTGCGACCCGGGCCTTAACACTTTTGTTTTTTATATGGGAGTAAATTCAATTAGAGCTCACAAGTTATCGGCTATGGTTCCCGGGA